ATTATTATTATTATTATTATTATTATTATTATCATTATTATTATCATTATTATTATTATTATTATTATTATTATTATTATTATTATTATTCTTATTATTATTATTATTATTATTATTATTATTATTATTATTATTATTATAGTAATAATAATAATAATAATAATAAATATTGACTTTGCACCCCTGTAATTATGAGGTGCGTCGCAAACACACCCCGCAATTACGAAATGTACCCAATACCGCCCTATATTTTTTGGCCAACCACTACAACATAATACATATTTTACGACACTTGGTTAGGGATGTTTTTTCATAAATGTCTCAATTACAAAATATTAAGGCATTGGATAAGTTGTGTCCCAACTATTAACTCTATCGAGGCACTTTTTCTTAAATTAATTTAGTGGGAATAAATTTTATTGTTTGGAAAATTTCCTTTATTTTCTCCAATACGGCAGTTCCCCATCTCACTAGGGTATTCTCCTCTCTTCCTTGGCAGAAATGAATCAAGGTTATTTTTCTTCCAATGCCGCCGAAATTTTTCATCCCATCGCTAATTGGCAAACGCTTCAAAGGGTTAGGCACAAATTATCGTTATTGTTCATAATATTTTATAATTGTCTTTTTCGTTTCTTCCCCTGATTATTATTTCTTTAATTTGTTCATCAATTATGATTTTCGAACCCTACTTAGGGAAGAATTGTGGCCAAAATCAAAGAGGCGTTGGCAATAATCGAGTTATGATCAATTGAATCTGCGTCGCTCTTCAAATTGATAGTCTGGGACTGAAACCCAAATGGATCGAACCCATGTGAAAAAATCACACTCGCGATTTTGGGATTTTGTTACGGAAGGATCATATGTTATTGCTCGTGGATTAGGTTAAGAAATATGCTTCAGTTGTTCTGATTCACATCAACTGTATTTAATTTAAGTTGATGTAGTTCTTTTTAAGAGGTTGTATACATTTACTTCAGTTCATTCTTATTTCTGATAATTGCATTTAAATTATTTTGACAGGATTGTTATCTAGTCCATGTTTGGAGTCGATGTCAAGTTAAACATATTTGTGTTATCTGCTGCAAAGAAATTAGTTCAGGTACATTTGTCCATTTTTTAAGTTTCAATGCATTTACATTGAATTCGAGATGTGTAATTCATGTTCCAGAAAATTAAGGGTGGCTCGATTCAAATTATGGAAATTAGATATATCTATTCATTCTTTTATTTTACTTGAATGTACTAATCACTAATTCACGAGGCTGTACCAGAAATGAAAATATATTTTGCAGCTCAAAGCAACCTCTATGTGACCACTTAGTATTCTCTAGTGAAACAAGCTAGTCAATTTGAAGAGTACTTCTCAAATGATCAGGCAAGTTATTTTACCTGGTTAATAAGTATACAGTGATGCACATATATTTGTTTTCGGTTTTGTGGCAGGAAGCTGCAAATTAAACTATGTTCTATTACTCTATTGCAGGTGAAAACACCTTTAGAAGAGCAAATAACAAATTCTTTTCAATCCACCTTTGTAAAAGTAGCGTGTCGATTTCGGAGTTGATATTTCACAAAAAAAGTTATGCGGAATGCAGAATAAGACATTTGCTTCCTTTTTTATGTATAGTTTGTTAGGTGTTTTTGAAGACTGTTGTTCGAGGATAGTGATAGAGGGAGGACCAACTTCCAGATGATTATTCATGATTATGTATTCATACAACTATCTGGCCTTTAATGATTAATTGTATTGATGTGTAATTATTTTAGCAGCAAATGAAGTGTATATATAATTAATATCATATATAATGTATCTTATGAATTGTTAAAAGCAATATTAGTGTCCATTTAGCAGGATGAGCAAATACATGAAATGTTTTTGAGACACTTAAAATTGTTTCAAAAATATTTTTAGCAAAATCAGTAATATCCTTACGAGGCGTATAATAGTGTCTCAAAACACTCTATTGGGACGCATATTAGTGTCTTGATAACAATATTCTAAGGGCCCTTTTGGTTGGTGTGATAAGGGGTGATTGACAAATTAGTCACCCCTAATCCAACGTTTGGTACAATGGACATAAACCCGGTATTGACTATAAGCCCGGTATCCAATCACCCAAATGAGTGATAAGTTATCCCACTAGAATAGGTGTGATAATTTAATCACACATTTATCAATTTTAGGAAAATACCAAATACCCCTCATCTTTCACAAGAATTACAAGAAAAAGTAAGTATTTAAGCAAAAATACCCAACACCAGACAATGAAAAACGGGAATGAAACCCTAGAAGCAACTTCATCTTCTTCTTACCTCTCTGTAGAAGAAAATTCTTGAAATTCAATTTTGCATACACATCGTCTTCAATCTTTGTGGGTTTTTTCATCACACAGTCGAAAACTACGAGAGGTTGTTTTGGGTGAACGGGATTTTCGTCCGCCGCTTGGGTTTGTGTTTTCCGTCGACATTCTCGTATCCACTCCTCAAATCTTACCAGTTTAATCTCTTCTTTATCAATTAATGTTTTCCCCTGTGTGGGTAGAGTTACATTGTTGGCATCTTAGGTGTTGGAGCCTTAAATGTTTATTTTGGATTTTGTAACTCCAAATTTTATACAGCTTTTTAGGTGTGTATTACAATACTTGTTTCTTCCACATTTGCAAATGGAAAATGGACAAATATAATATATGTTGTACAGTGGTTATTATTGATATTATTATTATGTAATGGCAGCAAACCTTGTGTTGTTTGCATAAACGAAAAGGGTTAGTAATTTGCTAAAGTTTAAAAACGTGTGCTTTATTTTGTTATTAAGCAATTAATTCCTTAATTTGAATTTTGTGTTTATTATAGGATGAGTATGTGAATAAATATAATTTCAACTCTATTTATGTCAACAAACTGTAGGTTGGTTTATTTGTTATAACATGATGTATGGTTGTTGTAATATTGGCTCCCATTTAATTGTAGTTTAAGATTTACGAACATGCCGTATGAAGATGAAGAGATTGCTGCTGTGCTAACTGAAATTTTGTTTGACATCAAAATGTTTCTAATTATGTTCATAAAAATTTACGGTTCAATTAGACGTCGTCGGTTAGGATATACGACAAACGGCCCCACTAGGTATAGTCTTAAAAATAAGGGGCAATTTGCTATAGGTCCTCTTATAAGAGATTATATGTGTTAAAATCCATCTATTAAATTCTAATTTCCAGCAAATATTTTTATTTATAATTTGTCAAAAGTACCCTTATCAATATCCCTATCAATATACGGTAAAATAAATCTTCAAAATCAAATCCCCTATTTTTCAATCTTTTATACTGCAAATCCGAAAATTAGAATTGCAAAAATCAGGAAATCGATTTCTTCCTTGTTTCTTCGAAGCCAAAATCTCTCCACAAATTCTGAAGCCTTCCATAGGTTTGGGTGTCTGAGCGTTTGCAGTTTTACCAGGTCGTTTGCATTTTGCCTTCGTTCGAATTGTTGTTTCCCTATTTGCCTTCGTTTGGTTTGCTGTTTACAAATTGTTTGTTGTTCGGAAACAACGGCTGGTGTTTAGGGTTTGTTCTTTGAGCGTGTGAGTGTCTGAGCGTTTGCAGTTTTACCAGGTCTGAGCATTTTTCCTTCATTCCGTTTGCCTTCGTTCGATTTGTTGTTTCCCAATTTGCCTTCGTTCCGTTTGCTGTTTACAAATTGTTTTTTTTTTTCGGAATCAACGGCTGGTGTTTAGGGTTTGTTGTTTGGAGTTCGTTCGATGGCCAAAACACGATTAAGTCTTGGTAAGCAATGATCTTTTCTGTAAAATTTTATTTGCATGTTGGGTTTTTAATTTTGATTTTTTTTCTTTCATTATCAATTTTGTATTTTGTTCTTATTTTGTTTTTGCATTTTGTTGTTTGCTATTTATTTCAAATATTTCAATAATAATTTGAGAACCACTACTAGAAATATTGGCTGTCGTGACGCGCTAAACCGTCACTACAGTAAGGTATTGTGACGCTTATGATTTTGTGACGCCGAACAAAAGCGTCACATAGGTGGCCGTCATAATAGCATTTTGTGACGGGAACCAGCGTCTTCAAATCTACACTATTATGACGGCTTCGTCGTCGCAAATACATAGATTTTATGATGCCTTTAAGCGTCACATTATTAATTCCCACCAACTATAACTACCTATTTTTGTGACGTGGATTAGCGTCCTTTAATATGGGTATAATGACGCTTTCAACTGTCTCTAGAAGTTTAACACTATTTTAATATTACTTTATTGTGACGCTTTATGTCCCATTAGAAGGGTAGTGTTGAAGCCTTTATTCGTCATAAATTGTTAATGACGCTTTTATTCTCATCTTATAAATAGTAAGCAACACTTCAATCAACATAATCCATACACAAACAGAAATCATTTACACAACACTTGCATACTAAAACTTGTTCTTAAAAGTAATTCATTAATTTCAATGGTTCAAAATTACAAAGAATTAGTAACAAGTATTCCAACATCTAGAACATAAAATCTCTCCAAAAACTAACACACCTATACCTTTTCAATTTTTAGCTTTAGAAACTTCTAAGATTTAATTAATGACAAACTACTCTTGAAAGCAATCTTCAAATTGCATACCATAGTACGACTTGGCCATAAAACTGATGCAAAATTGTCTTCGCTATTGTTTGTGCATCCATAGTAACCTATTAAAATTATCAGATATCAGTGGAATTCAAATAAAAAAAAAATTCTAAACCAATGAGCTTTTAGAAAGAGATCAATACCAAATATTTCAGCCAAGCAACCTTCAATTGCATAATTGATTGTCTTTATGCGCTTCCCATTACTGCAAAATAATTATCACATTATAAATAAATAAAAGTAATCAATATTTCACTTCTATGATCGAAAAACATAGTATAATTTAGATTATAAGCACATAAATTAAATAACTTACAATATTAACCATAATGGATACATTTATTTCATTAGAAAGATTGAATATATTCAATCGACCAGTAAATAGCAAATGAACAAGTTTATGGATAACTCTAATCTTTACAAAAAGATTGGTTAACTCATATTCTTTACGGTAAAATTTCATGTCTTGTCCCATCTATAAAGCTTGTAATGTTAACTTACAAAAAATTCTATAAAAAAAAAATGTGAGTTTATAAGAAACACACGTCCACGAGGATGAGATATATAAAAGGTTACCGTATTGCTTGGCTCTGTAGATTCTTGGAGCAACCAAAACTATCTTAAACAGATTCACTCACTCTTTCTTGTTTGGATAAAGGAAGCAAACTCGTTTCTGAAAAAATATTGTTAATTGCAATCGAAAGCCACTCATAATACAACACAAAGAGCACAAACAAGATAACTAGTAGATATATCTCAAAACTATACATGTTTGCATAACTAAACATAAAGAATGAAAAACAGAGAGCATTCATTATGACAGTATAGCTTATTGGTTAAGAAAACACTAATTTCAAACTTAACCATTTATTTATATATTAACCTTGAAATATCTAAAAAGAATCCAAAATAAGTACACGAGTCATTATAAACTTAAATAAAATAGAATGAAAGCTAAGCCAAATTCCTTATCAGAAACCTACAGGCTACAAGAATAATATTCACAATCATTGGATTCTGAAAAATAAATAACCAACAAAGTCAATGAGGCACTATTTAATTTATTCTTTCATCATATCAGGAGTTAGTGAAAGCTTCAAACTTTGAAAATCCAGAACTTACCGTGTGAATACAAATGGACAGAAGCACGAGTAGACAAGTATTGTTGATTGCTTGTTTTTATAGGAAATAGTAATTTCAACTATGGAAACTTGTAGTGATTACTTAAACACACATATATGAGCCAACTAAGTGGATATTACTAACTAGCCCAAGTCAAGATAAATGGAAAAGATACAATCTCACATCCATATGTTTCTGTAAGTCAAGGACTATATAAGAAATAGAACCATACATCTGAATCACAAGTTTTCAGCTTCAAAAGATGGAATATAAGGAGATACCTCTTCTTCTGGTGATACATCACCAATGTCATAATAAAGAGCCATAAAATAGACCCCAATATCACCAAATCAACCTCCAAAAGCTATTAAAGGCTGCAATCTGGAAAAACAAACACACCCACAGACAAAACAAAGTGTTTGTCGAAATTTCACCAATTTACATTAAATTAACAAATACATAATAATGGCCATCACATTTAACATGTCGACTGAACCAAAACTACAAACATAAATATAAGAACTCCAATTGAAGATGACATGTAAAGGATCAGTTTCACCAAATTATAGTGAAGCACAATTGTACAGCTTCAAAATAATCCAATACATACACTCCGCAAATCTGTTGAATACTACTACAGAAATTGCAGAAGAAAAAAATGAAGTAAAATAAACACAAAAAGAGTCAAACCTAGAGAGGGAGATTTGATATCTGATACTGCAGGGCAATTGAAAAATTCGGGAAGCAAGAAAAATTAATTCCCATACATCGGAAACTTTTATGGTTTTCGTTCAAGCGGCCCCAATACCTAGATCTATGTAATTGGGGGAAAGGGTTTTGAAGAGGGAGGCGGCTGATTTGGATTTAAAAAAATAGGATTTGGGAATAAGTGTGTGTTTACGGAACCGATGCACACTGTGGCGGTATTTTTTATTATTTCAATGTGTGCTATAGTGACAATTCTTTGAAAGGCGTCATGAAATATTCATTTTCAGAATTAAAAAAATGGAAAATAAAATAAAAACACGGAACTAAAGAGCACGCTTAGTTAAGGCGTCTTAATAGAGCGGTTGTTGAGACGCTTTTTAAGAGTTGTCATATTAAAGGGTTATTTAGGCGTCACCAAATACTGATTTTCTAGTAGTGAACCCCTTTTTTTCCCCTTAACAACAAAGGAGGATGATGATTTCCAATCCCCGAAATCAGGTAAAAAAATTGAAGGGTTTGTTTATGTTACAACTTTGGTTATGTTTATTCTAAACAAAACGTGAACTATTTGCTGTTTGCACATTTTACAATTTGTTGTTTGGACATTTTATTTTTCATTTGGGTAATCAGTTAACTAAGTTGGATGTTTTGAGTTAAGTGTTTGCAATTTGTTATTAACTGTGGTTTGCACTTTAGACATGAATATTTGTCTTTTGTTATTTAAGTTTAGTGTGTCGATTGTGATGTTTACATTTTATATTTGCGGTACTTATCATGTTGGTTTTTTGCAATATGTTTTTGTAGTTTGGTGTTTGCAGTCTGTTATACAATGTTTGTACATTTAAATTGTAGTTAACATTTGCATACCGTATATTTGTACGTACATTTAGATATTTTCTCATACTTTGCACGTTGATTTATTTTTTATTCGAAATGGTTGGTTATTATGGCATAAGCAGATAATGGACTCTTGTGCGTACCTTTTGATGAAACAACAAGATGAAGAGCATTTTGCAAGCGGCGTAGACCACACACGTATGGGGAATAGTCTGATATTCCCCAGCTTGCTTCTGGTATATATAATCTAATCTTGTTTATAAGTCTTAAACACAAAATTGGTAATGTAAGTAATATCTTATGTTTTTTCAGGGAGTTATACGAAAAAATATGAAACCAACTCAAATGGTACAACACTTCATGACGGGAAAGGATGTGACCAATTTCCGTTACTTACTTTTCCCGTTAAACTCAGGTGAAGGTCCCATGAACATAATACCCCACTGGACTCTACTTGTTTATGATAGGATTAACTGCTCGTGGGAGCATTTCAACTCCTCATTGCCTAGAAGATTTGACGGAAAAGAAGATCCATTCTTGGTTGATGCCAAATAAATGAAGAGTTTCATGCAGATTGCAAATGGGAAGATGAAATTTGGTATTAAGTCAAAGGCCAAATTAGTTTCTGTTTTGACATCACCACAACAAAAGCCTGATTCAGTTGACTGCGGGATGTTTGTCCTTTATATCGCACGACAATTTTGTCGCCAACAACCCTTAGACATTAAAGATGCACAAAATGGGGTATGCGCATTACGAAGTGACTTTGTTCATCAATTCTTAAACGATGAACACACTGGGAAGTTAGATTAGCGCATAATGATCTGATTTTAGAAACTACCTTGAACTCTTGCTATTTTGGATATTTAGTTTGGTTACATTTTGATACAATTATAATTTTGCAGTTGGTAAAACATCCTTGTATTATCCTATAATTTGAGGTACTCTATTAATTGTTGCTATTTTGGTACCTGAACTTAGTTGACGTACTTTTCTCGTTGTTTATGTTACTTTTTTTATGTTTGCAATTTCAATTTTCGCTAATTACTAAGTAGGACAGTTTAAAAAATAAGACAATTACTAGTTCTACACGTTTGCTCCTTAAAGTATAATATTATGCGTTGTGTTTTACACATATTGTTTGCTAACTAGTGCAACGAGCGATGTAATGAACCAAACAAAGTTGGTAGTTTCACTGAACGCTGTAAAAGTTTATAGTTTGTTATTTGCTTTTTGTTGTTTGGTGTTTACAACATAAAAGATGGAGGTATGTATTTGTGGAATAACTTCGTGTTTGTTGTCTGTAGCAAATTTACCATTTGCTAAATGGTAAAACATGAACATAAGCTAATCAAAACATGAACATAAGCTAATCAAAATTTACCATTTGTTAAATTGTTCATTTCATTATAAATGGTAAAACATCAACATAAGCTAATCAAAAATAAACAAAAAAAAAATTCAAAAATAAAAGCTTGAAAATGATAGCACAAGTTCTTAAATGAAACATAAAAAGCATAACAAAAAAGCATCACCCCTAAGAATACATCGGATTCGTACAAGACTTCTTGTTGTGTTCACCGAGTTCTTTACATCTCCCGCATCTTATTTTCCTCTTTATCTTCTCGCCAATAGACGGTATCCTCTTCTTCTTTGGTCTACCACGACGTGTTTTAAATTCAGGAGAGCAAACACAATACATCATACCTGAACACCAATTTTGTGGAGAACGATAAACTGCAAACAATATTGAACGAAAATTAAGTTGTAAAAACGACAATTAATAAATCGAAAATTCAAAACAACAAACATCAATTGACAACCATTTGCGTATAATTCAATTTCATGTTGATTGCATCCGACACTTTCTTCATCGATACCAATACATCATACCTGAACACCAATTTTGTGGAGAACGATAAACTGCAAACAATATTGAACGAAAATTAAGTTGTAAAAACGACAATTAATAAATCGAAAATTCAAAACAACAAACATCAATTGACAACCCTTTGCGTATTATTCAATCTCATGTTGATTGCATCCGACACTTTCTTCACCGATACCAATACATCATACCTGAACACCAATTTTGTGGAGAACGATAAACTGCAAACAATATTGAACGAAAATTAAGTTGTAAAAACGACGATTAATAAATCGAAAATTCAAAACAACAAACGTCAATTGACAAACATTTGCGTATAATTCAATTTCATGTTGATTGCAGGCCAAAAAAAAGGATTCACTAATTATCAACACCGACTCTCGCGTTTAATTGTAATACGATCGTATTGGTTTCTCGAACTCGTCATGATGATCTCATATTTCCCTTGAATCGACTAAGATCTGTTTTCCAAGCGTCTTACACGATACTCTGCCTTCAATCGTGATTACTGGGATTTGATTTCCCAACTTTACGTAAATAACTGAATCCCCTAAAATATGTTTATTCAATAAGGGTACTTATGTCTATATATTCTTTTTATTATTTAATTTATATTATTTTTTTATGTGAAAGGACCTAGGCCTATATTCATCTAACAACTAGGACTTCTACCTATATAAGTCCAAAATAAGGGGTGTCTAGCAAATTTCCCCTAAAAATAAAGTCAAAACCCAACTTCAAAATCTGAGGTTTTTAATAAGTACGCAAGACAACACCTGTAGAAATAACTTACGCATGAATATGGATATTTTTGGCCGTTTGTGCTATTTGCTAGAGAATATGGGTGGGTTGTTACCGACGAGGAATGTTGTTGTCGAAGAACAAGTAGCAATTTTTTTGTTTATCTTGGCCCATCACGAGAAAAACGTTGTTTGTCAAACTACTTTTCTACGGTCCGGTTACACTATAAGTAAATACTTTAACCGAGTTCTTAAAGCATTATTGAAATTACACTCCTTACTTCTCGTCAACCCGGAGCCCGTTGATGAAGATTGTGAGGACGAGAGATTTTCCTACTTTAAGGTGAATTTGAAAAGTACATTTTACCATAATATTATCTCACATTCAATAATTAATAAATTTACCATTCAACCCCTATTTCATTTTCACATTCATTGAATAGGGTGCCTTAGGTGCTTTAGACGGAACGTACGTAGCTGCTAGGGTTGCAAAGGCTGACAAACCTCGTTATAGAAATAGAAAGGGAGATGTTTCAATCAATTTCCTCGCTGTTTGCGATACGAACATGAATTTTATTTTTCTCTTAACGGGTTGGGAAGGATCAGCCGCCGACAACCGGATTCTCCGCGACGCGGTTACGAGGCAAAATGGTTTAAAAGTGTCTATCGGTATAACTATATTACATTCCCTAATTGCGTTTAATATGTTCCTCGTTAATTGTCATTCTTAACTAATCATTAACAACCATCTTATATACCACCGTGCCAGGGAACTACTACTTGGTCGATTGTGGGTATACCAACGGGGATGGGTTTTTGGCCCCGTATAGGGGTCTTAGATACCATCTTCAAGAGTTTGGAACTTCAGCCAATGTCCCTCAAAATCACAAAGAATTTTTCAATTTAAAACATGCAAAAGCTCGTAATATCATCGAGTGGTCATTTGGGCTACTAAAATCAAGATGGGGAATACTTAGGAGTGCGGCGTATTATCCAATCAAACAACAAAACCGTATTATAATGACTTGTTGTCTTCTTCACAACTTTATACGTACTAATAACGATTGCGACCCCGAGGAAGAGAGGGTTGTTTTGCAAACTAGAAATAACCACGAGTATCAAGAAGATCAAGTGATTGAGAACGTGGAGGCCTCGGAACATTGGACTGATTGGAGAGATACTTTGGCGTTGAACATGTATCATCATTGGTTGGCATCTAGATGAGTGTATAACATAGATTTTTTTTTCAATTTTATGATACAATTGTGTGAATGTTTTAGACTCTTTTAATTTTTAGTAGCTAATGAATGTATTGTATGTTATATATCAAAATATGTTATTATTATGACTTGACTATTAAATGCCAATAAATATTAATTTTCATTCACAATATCTATTACAGGCCATCAATATGGATGGAATTACAATTTCACAGAAATCCCAAACCACAAAAGGTCGTACCACAAACACACGCCGGACTTGGACCTTTCCGGAAGAACAATGTTTACTTGTTGCATTAAAAGAAATAGTCACTAGCAGATGGAAATGCGACAACGGATTCAAGACGGGATATCTTGGGGTCCTCGAACTCCACATGAATCAAACATTCCCCGGGACCGATCTGAAGGCGGTTCCGCACATTAATAGCAAAATTCATGTGTGGAAAAAATTGTACGGCTCATTAAGCACAATGATGTCGCGTTCCGGGTTTGGATGGAATGATTCTACCAACACGATCGATGTTGCCGATGATCAAGTTTGGAACGAATATGTTAAGGTAAAGTATAAATTTTTAATTATGTTAGTCGTAATTTGAAACAATACTTAAAATAATTTAGGGAACCACCATACTAAAGTAAATATTTTTTTTTCATCTATTTTCATGACGGTTCATTTTTAGTCGGATGCCCAAGCACGTACAATGCGTTACAAATCTTGGCCATACTATAAGGATTGGCTCATCATATTTGGCAAAGACCGTGCCACGGGTGAAAATGCGGAGGTGTTCGCGGATGTAGTAAACGACTTATTAACTAATGACAACGATAACGCTCATGTTTCCATCGGTGGTGAATATGTGCCGGATGTTAACTACAATGATAACAACGATGATGCCTCCGACAACACGTCATCTTGGCATGCGGGGTCTACACCGACCCAAACGAAGAAGACGAAGGGTAAGAAACGACCCCGACAAGATTCATTGGACCGAGAGTTAATGGGGATGATTGGGAATTTTTTTGACAAAACTGAGGTACGGTTGGGTGAAATGGTGAAACGTTTGGGGTTTGAGCATGATGCGGCTACGTTGAGGAAGAGTGTATTCGACGCGCTTGGCCCGATTCCGAATTTAAGCGTGGAAGACAAATTAAATGTGACCAAGCACATTTGCACGACGAACAAAGAACTAGTAGACATATTCCATGGTTTGAACGACGAAAACAAAGTTGTCATGGTAAGGATGATTCTCGATGGTCGTTACTAGCCGTTGTTTGTAATATTTTGTCGTTTATTTTCGTTGTCTATATTTGATGGCTGATGGCTGTTTATTTGCTATGTAATAATACTTTTGTAGGTACTGGTACATTTTAAATTCTGAAAAAACATATGTATTTTGTTATGACTATTTTTAGTATTAGGTCTTTAATTTTTTTGATATATTTTAATGTTACTTATGTTGCCGTAGTAGCCATTATGTTGTGGTTAAGGGTACATTTTATATGTATGAAAATTTGTATGTTATATAAATTTAAAATAAACATAAAAAACCAATAGAAAAACATACTGTCAAAGGCAAACTGTCATCTTGAATGCAAATAATAAACATAACTTTATAGGAAAATATACTTAAATACCAAAATTAAAATAAAAAAGCAACTACAAAAATAAACTTATTCCAATAATTGGAAAATGGCATGTGCACATAATGCCGTTAAGCAATGAAAAAAAAAGTTTGCCCTTGACTGGTTAAAGGTTGACTAAAGATTTTTCGGATTTGCAAACGAGTAACCCAATGGGTCGTTCGATGCGGTAGAACTCATGCTCATCTTACCTTTCATCTTAGTGGAAAACTCGGAGTTGGATTGAATTCTACGGACTTGGTTTAAAGTTTCCTTCACGGTTTTTAACTTTCTTCCATTAGTATTAGCTGTGCTACATTGGGTACCGGCGGACTCCTCCGAATCCGATGCATAATTGGCATATTCCAACTTTTTAGGTGGCAACACATTGTTAACGTTCACCGTTGTCGGACGTCTACGAAATGGAATCGAGTTTGTCGCACACCCTCCGATATTATCCCCGCTTCCGTCGGACGACACCTCAATCACTTCGGGTTCCTCCTTCGTCTTCATACCACCGAATATCGAGGTAAGCTCGTACATTTTCGACTCACCATAAGTTTGATAAGCGGCGGCGAATGAATGCTCCTACATTGCAAATGTTATTGTTTGTCTATTTCAAAATCCAAAAATGAAGCGATGAACCAATAAAAAAAATAAAGAATTACTAACCTTTATTATTAAACCCCATGCTCGATCCGATGCATACACTTTATTAGTTTCGAAATCGTATGTAACAGTTGGGTACGACAATATTGAGTTGAATGTGTAGTACCTTTTCCTCAGAAGATCCAATCTTTTCATGCAATATGTGTAAGGAAAATACAAACTGTATTCATCACGAATTGCATCTACGGCGAGTAGCAAAGTTGATATATTTGACCGCCCGTCGACAAAATTACCAACCTCCGCTTGCGAACTTACATAGCCAATGAAAAAATTGTCCACTGATTCATCCCACTCTAGCTCGTACAAGTAGTCCGATTGACTAGTTGGGGTTTTTTTCTTTGGTGCCATTTTGATGGTATGTACTATATTTTGTATTGTGTGGTTCAATTAGTAAACTCAACCTAATTTTATAGCCAACTTCTAATAATGGTGAAAATGTCCATTCCCGAAAGTGTGTTGGAATAAGAGTGTTTGGGTGAAATTTTTTTTCATATTTCACTTTATATCACTTTAACAAGAATCATATGATTTTGTGGGGATTTTATTCTCATTACTTTATTGACCATGTAAGTACATTTTCATTATATTCTCTGCAATAATATG